TATGCAGGACATAAGAATTGGAAAATTATTTTGCTGAGAACATGTATGTTGATGTGCTTGATTGAGCCAATGCACAGTGTATTTTGGATGGAAAATTAATTTGTGTGTTGTGATGGTGTATAGTGAATTAATGTAGAAAATGAATAAATTTTTAAAAATTTAATAAAATAAAATAAAATATTTTCTTATTAAAAAGTTAAAGAAAAAGAAAATCTCTGTTTTCTACAAGACATACATCTCATAGTAAAGACACACATAGACTAAAAGTGAAGGGCCAGAAAAAGGTATTCCATGCAAATGGGAACCCAAAAAAAAAGCTGGAGTCATGATGCTAATTTCTGACAAGGTACGCTCTATAACAAAAACTTTTCAAAGAGACAAAGAAGGGTACTATATTGTAGTTAAAGGGTTAGTCCACTAAGAAGATATAACACTAATAAATATCTATGCTCCTAACATAGGACCACCCAAATATGTGAAGGACAGATTGTTAGATCTAAAAGGAGAGATAGACTGCAACACACTTATTGTTGGAGACCTCAACACCTCACTTTCTCCTCTGGACAGATCTTCTAGATAAAAAAAATAAGTAAAGAGGATAAGAATTTAAATGATACCATAAATCAAATGCATCTATAGAACTTTCCACCCAAAACTCACTAGATATACTTTTTTCTCACCTCCAACTTTTTCAAAGATTGACCACATGATAGTGCACAAAGCAAGCCTCTAGAGATTCAAAGGCATAGAAACTATATACAGCATCTTCTACAACCATGATGGAATTAAATTTAAATTTCAATAGAAATTCTCAAAAATACACAAATATATGGAAGCTAAATACCCTACTCCTGAATGACTTTGCAACTACTGAAGAAATTAAGACTGAAATAAAAAGATTCGTGGGAACCAGTGACCATGAGGACACGAGTTTTCAGAGTCTCTGGGACATTGCTAAAGCAGTCATAAGGGAGAAATTCATTGAAATTAGTGCACATAAGAAGAAGATGGAAAGAAGGCAAATGGATCACCTAACATAATGTCTCAGAGAACTGGAAAATCAACAGAAAAATAAACTCCAGGAGAAAAGAAATAATAAAGAT